TTTGACAATTTGTCTACGTCCACAAAACTGTAAGGTTTGTACTATTGAGAGAGAGAATTACAAAGAACGGCTATACACATCGATAAAATCCTAATCACCAAAGTAGCGGTTTTTTATATGTCCTATGCACCGAGCTACAAAACAAGCCCAAAAATTTTTTCTATTAAAAAATCACACAACATTACTTCGGGTCGGGTCATCATCCGGATCAACACACATAAAAATTAGACTCCACAACGGCCCAACAACAGGTGCCTACAAGCAGAAATGCAAATCAGTAAGGTCCACCCAAAAAAGCAATTTACCCTTCGTGAATATATTCACAAAGAAGAAGCAATGTACACTAAGCTCTCGTTCCCATTCTCCACAGCCTGAAGATTTGCAGTTCAACTGAATAGATCACTAAAGATTCTAGATTTGTATATCCTCCCACGTTAATATAACTTGATTCTCATGATTTTCTAATTTTTTTCCACATCATATCCTAACTTTCGTAGAAGGAATGACGGAAGGAGTATTTAATACAAAAATAACTGCAAGAGGTTGTCTAAATTAGAAATGCTTAGATTGCCTTGAACACGATAAACTTTCCCTAAATGCCTAAAAGAAACCTAGGGGTGGTGTTGCGGGTGGGAAGGTGAAGGATAAGATCATGCACTCAGGCAAAGAAATGACTAATACCTTCTGCACAATATCAGCGTCGTGCCGCTTATCTGCATCTTCAAGTTTGTCTTTAATGGCAGGAACATAAGTTGAAAGGTGAAATAAAGCAGCACCTCCACTGGGGACAATCCCTTCCTCTGTCGCAGCAAAAGTTGCATTCTTTGCATCTTCAATACGAAGCTTATGATCCTCCAGTTCGTTTTCAGTTGCAGCCCCCACCTTTATAACAGCAACCCCACTAGACAACTTGGCAATTTGCTCAGCAAGCTTCTGAGTCGTAAACAAAATCTGTCCCAAGCAACTCATTTTTAATCTGTGCAATTTTAGCATGTATCTCATCTTTTATTGCAACGTCTGCAATGATGGTTCTGGATCCTGGCTGACGGTCACCTTTCTGGCCAAACCAAGCTGCTCAACCGAGGTATTCTCAATAAGCAATCCCAAATCTCTGGCTTGATACTCAACCCCTGAACAATTGACATAGATGGTAGAAAAAGGAGGTCAGCGTACGGGTGATAATAACTCAATGTGTTTGGATACATTCTCAGAATCAATCAATAGTGCATCCATATCCTCACTGACTCTGTTCACTAAGATGTACAATTTCTTGACAAATTGTACATGCAAGAGAAAAAAGAGAAAAAATATAATTTTTGCTCAAGTCCGTCACTCAAAACAATTTTACAGATCCATTTTATAAGCTGACTCGTTGCTACACAGAGAGAATAAGTAAATTAAAGGAACAACCTTACAAAGGGCGGAAACAACTTTTCAAGCAGATTAGCAATAATGATATACCTGTCAATATGGCAATATCTTGAAGGAGAGCCTTTCTCTTCTTGCCAAACCAGGTGTTTTGATGGCAGCAACATTCAGGATACCTCGCAGCTTATTCACAACAACAGTTAAGTAGATATATAAAAAACCATTATTTTGGTGAATAGGAATTTTTTTATGTAGTTTTGACAGGAAAAGAAAAAAACTGTACAGTCGGCCGCACTCTGTATTATTTTTTGATTATAGTGAAATCCCTGCAATTTCGTGGACATAGGTAAATTATCGAACCACGTAAATACTGTCTCATGTGAGTGATTATTTTTTTCTTAGGTGTGTGTTTTCTCTATTTTTTGTTTTTCACAGGTTTGAAAATTTCATGTAAATTTCCCTACAGAACCTTATAGTTCGAATATTGTAGCAGGTATTGACACTCTTTTGTAACCATAATCTTCAAGTTTGTCTTCTAGCTTTCCATTTGAGCCTCACAAGGAGCTACATCATCTTCCAGTTGCGCAAGTGTTCTACCTACAATAGATCAAAACAATAGATAAATATGAACACTTTATTCATAAAACCTAGTACTCTTAATCTAATTCTACTTTTAATGTATAAAAAACAGAACATTATCAAGAAGCAAAATTAAAAGGTATATATAAAAACCTAAAACTTGCATTGAGTGGGTTTACTTTTTCAAATAGGTCAGCCTTGCTATGGCCTTTCGAGTGTAATCAAGAAGTACTTTAGACTCCTTCTGTACTTTGGCCCTCTTTTCTTCAACTCCAGTCTTTCTTAGAGCAATATCCGCCATTATTACAAGAAAACTAAAATGTTTTGCTCATAGTAAGACAATAGAAACAAAACAAAGAATTAAAGAAAAATGGAAAATAGAGAGCAAGGGCCACCCACCTACTAAGTTTAGTGTCTCTAATATTCAATAAGTTTGCCACATTGGCAAGAACTTGTGCCGATCCAACCACGTTTGGTGGCAAACTCTCTTTTGCCAATCCCACATTCTCCAATATCTCTCTAATCCTTGTAGTTACAATTCAAAAATGTTGGAATCATAGTCATATGAGACTTGACATAAGGATGAGTACAATAACGAATAAAGTCCAAACAAAATCCAATTCAATAACCTTGGGAATGATACTCAGATGCTTTCTGGCAGAAGTCCTTTGCAACAATGCCAGCAGCTTGAGTTTTTTCTTGGGAGATGTTGGCAAGGTTATGTAAATGAGCAATGCTTTGAGGAGTATACTCAAAATCAGAGACATCTTTTCCAGCTGCATCAAATTGAGATACAAGCCATGCTTTAACTTTTGCAATACGACTGGCATCAAAGCCAGTATTTGCTTCTGTTGAAGTATCAGATCCAGCAATTACTTCACTCATAGTTTGTCCTTGTTTGCAGTCGGAATCTTTGGCCAAATATGCAAGAAGGGAAGAGTTCATCATGTACATGTTATTGTAGGATGAACTTACTAAAGTAAGTATTTTACTATCTCACTGTTTAGATAGAATACACGACAGATAACACTTCCTGTGTTTTATTTTTTTATTGATGTAGTGACAGATAGAACTAAGTATCAACGACATAATGATACAGAGTTTTTGTTTTGGAAGAGAATAGCTAGAGTATGCAGATAGGAGTTACGATTGTGGAATTGAAAGCAGAGCAAAATTTCTTCGATTCTTGAATGACTTTCTCTCAATTCCAAGATTTATTTAGTAATTCAGACATATATTGATGTGGTGACTGACTTGCAGATGTAGTTTTCGCAAAAATTCATCGATCAATTTTTTGTATTGGAAGAAAATAGGTAGAGTATGCAAATAGGAGTGATGCTTCAAGAAAATGCATTCAAAATGCAGCATGTCTTCACTAAACTCACTACATTGAGATAGAGATCTAACTCAATGTCAAATTCCTGATTGAAATACCTAGATAGCTAAGAAAATTGGTGTTTCTTTTTGTTTTTATGTTTTTTTGGGGGGGTTTGGAATTGAGGGAAACCAGTTTGAAAGTTTTAATAATTTTTCACAAATTCCACTTTCAGGACCTGCTTCTGTACGTATCAATCATAAACTATTCTCAACCTATATGTCCATCTCATAAAAACCACACAAACAGACAGTGGCCACCTCATAAAACCCACACAAACACACCCATTTGTTTATCAATAATATACTAAGAAACCGTTTCTCGGTATCTCAATCCAAAAGGTTTCTAAGAAACCGCGCAATGTTAGCTTTTTTTCCTACAAAAAAATTATTCATTTGTAGGTACTGTTGTAGATATTTTTATTATTATTGTGCTAATTATTTTTATCATTTTTTTTGTATTATAAATAACTCCACGAAACAGGGTGACAATTTATAGAGAGTGTACATCTCTAATTCTTACCCAAATTTGAGTTAAAAAAAAAAGAGAAGAGAAACTCAAATTTAATAGTTCGTCTAGTAGGAAAGATAAAAAAGTGAAAGGATAGAAAAATGGAAGGAGTAAGTTTTTCATCCTTGAAAGAAAGAAAGAGTTTTTGCATTATTTATGTTTGGTAATAAGATGAAAAAGTAGAAGGAATAATTTTATTATTATTATTATATTTAGTATGAAAAAAAAATAAAAAAACATCATTGCTAATGAAATACCAAAGATATCTAAGTAGAATATGAATAATATATTGACTTGTAACGTGACCTTCAAAGGACTAAATAGTAATTAGTCATTAAGCTGTGGACTCCATGTCATGCCTGGCCATTTTCTGCCGTTTTAGGCGGGAAGGATTGTCCTTCCATCCAATTTTTCTTCCTCTATCTTTCCTTTATAACTAAATAATAGAAAATTCTATTTTTCATTCTATTTTTCATCAATTATTTTTTATTCATCCATTTTTCATAAACGAATAAAAATTCAAATTTAAATAGAGATAAACTTAAATTTCAATCAGGATAAAAATAATCATTGAATTTAAAAAAAAACTCACTATTAAAAATTTAAGTATGAAATAAAGTCTCTTTAGTTAAAAAAAATAAGTATATTTTGAATTGATATAGGTTGAGTACGGATGTAGGAGAAATTTTTTAGAAAGTAAGATCGTAGAGGATCTCAACTGAACCGTTAAAACATTATATGCGAACCACAACCGCCTCTACAAATACAATACACATTTATAGAGAGAGAAAAATAGATGAATAGACACGTTGCCAATCAATACATATTTGTCTCACTTCTTCAATTAGCAAATAAAATTACTCCCCTCTCTTACTTGAAAATTCACTTCACGTTTATCGTGAAACAGAGTCTCGAAGTTTCAGAGGTCAGAGCTTCATATAAAAATTTCTTTCTCGTGATTTTCTTTCGTTTTCAATTCTTGTTCTTTTCTTTGAATGTGATCGAATGGTGATGGAAGACAACGAGAGTAGTAGTTATAGTAGTAGAGTGGCAGAATCGATGCAAGTGAGCAATCGGCAACAGAGAAAAAAGCTTGAGGTTTGCAATGTGGTTCTTCGTAGGCTTCAAGATTTGAACAACCTAGGCTTCCCTCTCAGTAAGTTTCCCTTTTTGGCTTTTGTCCCAATTCTTCAATCTCCATATAAAATTGTTGTCACTCCCCATCTCCAAGGGCATGACCGACCGTGAACTATAGATCCATAACCTATGGAACATATAAGTCTAACAATAAACTAATAATAAAGGAGTGAAAACCACATTAACACTAAATTGATCGCATGTCAATATGTCAAGTCAATCATACCTAAACCTGTTTGTCTCAATTATCCAAACAAGTAAAGATGATTATACAATAAATGCTACGGAGGTTACAACACTATTAGTCCCCAATCAATTCCCTGAGTCCGCTATTGACACTCCAATCGTTTACCTGGAAAAATATTATTTTGAAAACATGAGCTAAAAAATCCACTGAATGGAAAGACATGCATATTCAAAACGGCTAAAAAACATATTTGGCATACAACATGTAAATCAAAGGTTTGGAAAAATAAATTTATAAAGATAATCAATTTCTCAAAAATAACACAATCGGATTTGAACAAGAAATCATACCACAATGGTGAATCATATCATAATGGTGGAGACTATACGATATCTAATAATCGATGGGAACCAAATACCAATTGCCAGAAGATCTCAAGATTGGATCCAACACCGTACTTAGGGTCACCACGGGTTGTCACATAGGAACTGTTCCTTAAGACGATCTGGTGAAGGTCACCAGGAGGTACCAAGAACTGTTCCTTCAACCGTTGAGCACTGGGTCACCTCAGCCTCCCCAGGTCTGTTCCCTAGTGGCCAAGGTCACTCTCACATAGATGAATAATTTTTCTGAACTTTTAGTACCAAATGCCAGAATATATCTCAGGGTTGGATCCAACATCATTCTTAGGGTCACGACGGGTTATCGCCCGAAAATTGTTCCCTAAGACGATCCGGTGAAGGTCACCAGGACACACTTGGAATTGTTCTTTTAACCGTTGAGCACTAGGGTCACATCAGCCTCCCTAGGTCTGTTCCCTAGTGGCTAGGGTCACCCGCACACAGAGGAATAATTTTTCTGGACTTTTAATCATTATCTCATTCACTATCACAAAGTCTCACCATATAACAAATGATTAAGTCATAATATTTCACAAAAGAGTTCGTCAAAGTAATCAAATTGTATGCCGCAAATATTTAGCTAATTAGTAAAGCATTATTGTAAAGGTAGTAAAGAACGAGCATTATGTATCATTTTTAAAATGTTTAGAGATATTGGAAAAATACGTAGCATGTCAAACCACTCACCTTAAGTCCAAAGGAAATGATATGCTTCTTGAGTGTTGCTTGTTACCCGAACTAGAGTGAGATGTTATCAATGCCTTTTCTCTTTCTCTCACAATTTCCTTTCTCCTTTGATGAGGTATTCTTTCTTCCTTCTTCTTTCTTTTACTCTCTATTCTTTTTTGAAAGTGGAAGACTACTTGTGCACTTGTATCCTTAATCTATTTATCAAATGTCATATTTATAGGAATCCTAAGATTATTCTAGAGAATATTGACATGTGACATTTTTAGGGGGATTTCCTAGAATATTCTACCATTTTCCCTTTCCTAGATCCGTCTAGGTTTCAAGCTTATTTAGTACATGACAATTCCACAAGTATCTAGATTCATCTATGATATTCTAAAGTCTTCTCCAACCTTTTACGTCCTTTTGAAACTTTTTGGAATATTTTAAATCCCTCTAAAAGCTTCTAGTATTTCCTAAAATCTTTTAAAAATATTCTAAACTTCTCTAAATTATTCTAGAACTTTTTAGAAACTTTTCCAACATTCTAGATTCTTATAGGTTATTCTAAATTCATCTTTAAAAATTTTTCTTATTCCTTTCAAAATAATATTCACCAACTAGTTCTTGCCAAAATGGAACGGGGTATTACAATTGCTCCTCTCTTTTACTTGAAAATCCACCTCACGTTTACCATGAAACAGAGTCTCGAAGTTTCGGAGTTCAGATCTTTGAAGAGAAATTTTTTCTTGTGATTTTCTTTCGTTTTTAGTTCTCGTTCTTTCCTTGGGATGTGATTAGTTCTCGTTCTTTCCTTGGGATGTGATCGAATGGTGATGGAAGACAACGAGAGTAGTAGTTGTAGTAGTAAAGCGATGTGAACAGTCGACAACAGTGAAAGAAGCTTGAGGTTTACAATGAGGTTCTTCATATGCTTCAAGATTCGAATAAGCAAGGCGTCCCTCTCTGTAACTTTACCTTTTTGGCTTTTACCCTATAAAGTGTGTATATTTGTGTAGATATATCAACATGTCTGTTTTGATCTTTAGTGCTTTTGTACGTTGTACTGGTGCGTTCTTAAACAATCTAGATCTTATTTCAATATTTTCTTCACCGATTAGGTTCTTGATTTTCTGTTGTTAAAATTAAAAATACTTCTATTAAATACACATAAAATACATAATATATCTAAATTTAGTGCTTCTTTTTTCAAGGTTTGTCAGTTTACGTTTGACCCCAATAATCTCATACACACCATCACTACAACACAAAAATTAATATCCAAATAGACAATGTCACGATTTTTTCAAAACTTTTGGTATAATATTTCATTAAAAATCATTATATACTTACTATATAATTTTTCATCATTCTTATTACAAACTGATTCATACCTAAAATACACTGTAAATAGATCTTCTTATCACATAACTTAGTAACGGTGATTACTTCTTACTTCTTATCAATCAATAAAGTTTAAATTGTCTTTATAATACATAAATAAAATTATCAATTTGTTGTTCATACCAAAAATAAACCACTACTGTATAAAAGTCTATAGTTTTCAGAAAAAAAAAAAAAATTTCAAGCCCAAACTATTCAGCAATTAAAAAAAATAGGTGACCAATACAAAAAAAAATAAGATACCAATTGCACAAAAAAAAAA